GAACCCGGCGCCGCCCGCCAAGCCCGAGAAGCCCGCCACGCTGCCCCGGCCCCAGGAGACGGTCATCCGGGAGCTGCAGCCCCAGCAGCAGCCGCGCACCATCGAGCGCAGGGACCTGCAGTACATCACGGTCAGCAAGGAGGAGCTCTCCTCGGGCGACAGCCTGTCCCCGGACCCGTGGAAGCGGGACGCCCGCGAGAAGCTGGAGAAGCAGCAGCAGATGCACATCGTGGACATGCTGAGCCGGGAGATCCAGGAGCTGCAGGGCAAGGCGGAGCGCTCGGCGGAGGAGGGCGACCGCCTGCGCAAGCTCATGCTGGAGTGGCAGTTCCAGAAGCGCCTGCAGGAGTCCAAGCAGAAGGACGAGGACGAGGAGGACGAGGAGGACGACGACGTGGACACCGTGCTGATCATGCAGCGCCTGGAGGCGGAGCGCAGAGCCCGGGTAACGGGGAGGAGCTGCGGGCGGGGTCTCCTGGGCGGCCCGCCCAGCTGGGGCTTGGGCCGGGGCGCGGGACGCAGGGCGCGGGGTTGGAGAGGCCCCTGGGCGCACGACGGCCTGACAGGACTTACTGTTGGCTGGCGCCTGTGCGCACGACCCGGGGCGAGAAGGCTGGACGGTTTTGACACGACTATTTCAAACATATTTATCCTTCTCGAGCCCTTCAGTTGAGGAAATAAGATGATAGCCAGTCATAGCCTTGCCCAGGGGACGGCATATCTTTTCTTAAACTGCCAGGCAGTCGGTATCTGGGGCCCTGTGGACCCACACGCTCCGCCCTCACTGACCCGCTCTCTGTGGTGGGCGGGGCCTGCGAGTGCCCGCCCCCCTTTGCTTACAGCCCCTTGGCCCGCCTAGCCCGATTATCAGCCCTTGACAGTGGGCCCCGAAGGGAGCTGTTGACAGCCTGCTGGGGAGGTTCAGTATCGTTACAGGAGGGAGGCAGGCCCCCCATGATGGTGACGAAGCGGGTGACGCCACCGTTAAACCACCACCTGTCAGTGATGGGATAAAGATGCTGAGAACCTGTGACTTTACTCCTGTTTCTCCAGATTATGCAAATAACCTGTTTCTTTATCAAATAAAAGAAGAAAAGTAAGATTTCTGTTAGTTTAATGCAATAGATTGTTAAATTGCCAAATTTGAGATTTTTGTTAGCCTCTCGAGAATTATTGACAGAGGCATTTATCAGTATTAATTTGCAGAGGGTGCTATTGACCACTTCACATTATTGAATTTTAGTGATTTTTTAATACAATGCAATATTGTAAGACAGCCAAGAGCATGACCTTTTTTCTTTTAGATTTTGTTTCTGACTCCAGCTTCTGTTTGACGCTGTCTGTCCTTGAGGCCTGAACCGAGAACCGCTGGTCGCATGCTTCAGTCGTGTGCCTCACGATGAGTTTAGTCGTGGGTCGTGATTAGTGAGCGCTTAGGGCCAGCAGCGTCAGCTCTTCAGTTCACTCCCGAGATATATTCTCTCTCTCTCTCTCTCTCTCTCACTCTCTCTCACACACACACACACTTTTTCTCAACCAGATATATAGAACTTTACCCAGAAGTCAGCTGGAATCCCTCTTAAAACACGTACGTTTCTAAAGCAAAGACCTAAATGTCACTAACGTTGTTTTATTAGTGTTTTCCAAGTCATCGGTAGTAAAATTTCTTCAGGGCGACTATATTTGCCATCCGTTTATTTTATTTGGAAGAACGACTTTTGATAAATGCGAATTGCTTTTAGCGTAAGAACTCTGAATGGTTTTCACTTGGTAGTCGCAGCTCCGGCCTCCATCAGTAGATTGTTAGCTGTGCGCTTGTTACTGTGAGCGTCTCCCCTGCCCAACCAGGGTCACTAGTGGACGCACTGCAGGTGGAGTCATGGAGAAGCTGACTGTGTTCACGGCCTTGCGTCTGTCACCCCTGCTGTTCAGACCCTGAACCGAGGCTATGACAAATTAGCCGACAATATTCATGGCTGCAGCTGCGTCCCAACGACCCCAAGAGTTAGCAGCTGCATTTGTAAAACTACAGGAATTCTTCTTTTCCGTAAAGACTCAATTTTTATTGGTCTGTCGATTTTTCCAGTTAGTTTAAACACTGACTGTTTTAAAGCCTTCGTGTTTATTATGACATTCGAAAAGTTTACGAAAATTTAGTTGAAAGTGCCTGTATGTTTACCATTAATTACATATTAAGATGAATATTTTAGTCTCTAAATAAGAGAGCTAAGGGAAATGTTACCTTTTTAGTTTCTATGTATCTTAAGGATGAAACTCGATGTTTAATACCGTGTGGGCAGCTCTCTCTGAATGCCAGACATTCGTCTGGTAGCTCTGTGCTTTTCTCGTTGGGGTGTCCCAGAAACAGACGAGGCATGAGGGCGGCGAATGTGCTTGCTGGCGGCGGAATACAGGTCTAAACGTAACTTGTTTTCACGCTTCATCTTTCTTTTTTTCCTTCTCTGTCGCCTGCAGCAGACTGCTGTGCCAGCAATCTCTGTTCTAGATTTGGTATGTTCTTGTTTCTTTCCCTTTGGTCCTTTTTTCCTGTCTCGATTTCCTTTTTTCTTTCAGTGGTGGTGGTTTTATGTTTTCGGTAGACCAGTTCTTAGGGGTGGCCTGGATCAGGACGCGTAGTGTCGTGACCCTCTAGAAGCATGCCTTTGAATGTTTTAGATTTAGTTACTCTTTACCTTTTTCCTTTAAGTGTTGCTATTTGTTTACGGTTTTGACCTTTTCTCAGTTGTAGTCAAAATTGATTCTGTGTGTTTTTACTAGTCATAAATACACGAGCAAATGAGAGAAATGTTCCATAGAGTAAGTAAATCCATTTCATTGTTGTTACATTAGAAATAGATTTTAGATATTCACCTGTTAGAAACTCAATTGAATTGCTACTGCCATTGTTCGTTAATTAAGCTGTCTGTACCTGTCAGGGGCGTAACTGTCTTTTGGTGGAGTAAGAGAAATTTCCAGTAAACTTTTATTGTGTTTCCTTTAGCCTCACATGGATTTTAGTGTAGTTCATCAGCCATGCCAGTCTGTTGTCTGCCCTGTAATACCTGAACTCACATTTTGTATAAATTCACCATGTTCATTCAGTGTCACTGAGTGCCCATTATGCTCACGTACCACATCTGTGTCATCTGCCAGACAATTACATCCTGCCTGATACATTTGCGTTAACTAAGTCGACATTTGTTAGTTGGCTTTTAACGATAGAAGGCCAATATCAGACGACACTTAAAAGAAAAAAATTCTTGAATTCAGTTTTGACTTTAGTGGCCCTTGCAGCAGGCTACAGCCTCCCCTTTAAGATTTAATAAATAGCCTGGCGGCACTGCCACTCCAAAGAGAAACCTCTCTTGAAAACCTCTCCCCGCCCTGATGACCGAAAGGCACATTTTCTGAGCTTTACATCTTGTTTTCATGAGCCGGAGGTTAAACCTTTTATGTCTCTCTCCCGCCTTTTTTGTGTGTCCGGCATTGATGTAGTAGGAGGTGGACAGTGCTGCTCGCCCAGCCGCTTCTGCAAGGCAGGGCTTCGCTGAGCCGCCTCCCAGGTCCCGGCCGGGCAGCGGCTTTAAGAGACGCACCCGTCTGTAGGCCCGCGAGGTCCTTTGTGCTGAGGAGATTCTGTGGCAGATAATGGTTTTTAAGGATAGGGTCCTACTAACATTTTTATTTCAAAGAAATAGTTGAGTTTTTCTTCCTTTGAGCGCTCATTAGCTTGAGTCTCAGCGCTGACTTCAGCCACCCAGCTCTGAGTACGTCTCAGCCTCCGCCCCCAGTTGACACTGGTCGACAGTGTCACCTCCGGCGTTCCTCCCGTGTCAGAGCTGGGTTGTCCCGAGACACACACCCCTCCGGTAGGTGTTCACCCCTCCTGAGAGCGTGGGGGCGCGGCGCGCACACACCGTACCCGTAGGACCACCCTGCAGTTTTTGGGGTGTTTTCTTAGGCGCTGCTACGGGATCTTCACGGCGATGGGCTGAGGGACACGGCCTTCCCGCGGGGGGCAGCCCGCGGGTTTCTGCCCCTCCACGTGGCCTTGTCGCCTCGGCGCCTGCACCTCCAGGTCCGTGGCCTGTGCTGATGCCAGCGCCACCCTCGTTTACGTTTCCAGTCCAGGCCTGTCCTCCGCTCAGAGTCGGAGCGGGCCGTGTTCACACGAAGTTCCTCGTCCCCGGCTCTGCCCCCAGCCTTCCCCTTTGCAGTGGGTTCTTACAGTTGCTCAGACTGCAGACCTTACCGTTACGTGACGCCTTTTACTCTCTGTTGAGAAATTCTGCTCTTTCTCAAAATCTGGCCACCTCTGTGCTCCCCTCCCCGCCGCCCGAGCCACCATCGGTGGGGACTTGCTCCCGAATCCCTTGCTTCTGCCTTTCTTCCCCTGACAGGTTGTTCTCAGCAGAGCAGCCCCAGTCACCCTGTACAAACACATCAGGTCCCAGGAGTCCTCAGAACCCTGCGGTGGCCTCGCTGTCACTCAGACAGACGTCCCTAGGCCTTTCGTGGCCTCCACGGTGCTGCCCAGGCCTCGCCATCCTTCACAGCCACCCTGGGGGGTGGGTGTCGGCCACCACTTCGCGTCACCTGGCTGAGGTCTGAGGGGCAGCCGGTCCTCCCACCTAGTGACAGGTGCTCTAGGTTGCAGCGGCCAGGCCTGGCAAGGTGGCCGGCCGTTGGCCTGATACTCTGTCATGGGCCGGGCACCGGTGTGGGTGGCGTCCTGCCCCACTCTGGAGTTGCTCTCTGAGAACGGGCTCTTCCCAAGGAGGGCACCGTCCTCCCGCCTGCCGGCTCGGAAGCCGCAGCGCCGGATGCTGCAGCCAGGCCTCGGAACCGAAGGCCCGTCGAAGCGGGTGGGCCCGCCGGCACTCTGCGTCCAGGGCCTCGGGCTTTCAGCGTGACCGCCTGTCCTGGGCGCCGCGTGAGTGCAGAGGGAGGGTCTTGGGCGGCGTGCCTGCCAGACTCCTCGGGGTCCTCTCAGTGACGCCGTCAGCGAGTGACTCGCCGAAGGACCTGGCCAACGTAACACGTGGTGCAAACGCACAAGCACACAGATCTCAGGGTGCTTTTTTTTTTCAGCCTGAACATAATCTTGTTTGAGGAGTGTGGGCCGCCGGTATAGTGAAGCCTTGGGCAAGCTCACACGCTGGCTTCAGAGATCCCAGCATGGTTCTTGGTTTACAGTGATTTTCGTCTGGCTGTCTCGATTCATTCTACAGGACTTGTTATTTTATCTGTCAGATCCGTTCCCCCAAATATAATTTCCCACAGACTTCTTTGAGCACATGTAACTTTTCACTCTTGAGCTGTTATTTTAATTAAGAGGTTAAGTTCTTTTTTTCTCTCATTAATTCGTTTTTGGGTTTTGGGTGTGTGTGTGTTTAGTAAAGCATCATATCTTTGAAGAACAAAACGATCTGTTTTGAAAACGAAAATACTCTGTGGGACAGCTTACCAAGCAGTGGGAAGAAACGCTGTAATTTCTGGCGCTGGCTCATTCGCCTCACTTGAAAAGCATTTGCCAGTGAACTAAACACAAGAACACTCCTTGCATACCACCGTCTAGATTTAGAAGAATTAAGTTTTTCAAGAGAAAAATAGCTGTTTATAGGTTTATAAGGTAGTATTCTGTACCTGCAGCTATGAGAATTGTAATTGTCCTGATTTCTTAATATTATACTCAAATTTAAAAGAACTAATTGGATATTTCCATGTATACTGTTTTTCTTGCTCAGAATTTATTTTTAATTAAGTCCAGAAAGCATAACATGATGAAACTAATTTGTGCGTTATTGGTTAACAGAAAAACCTCTTACGGCGTAAATGCAGTTTTACGTCCTCCCGTAAGTCAGCTTCCTGCAGAGTCTTTAATGTCGCCAGTTGTGGTTTATGTTGCTGGTTTCATTGGGTGCCGTTTCTCACCATCGGTGCTGATGGCGCTGAGCACGTCCGTTGCTGGCAGCGGGCCCCTCACGCGGGTGTGGGTCCGCTCTGCCCCGTCCTCCTGGCGGCCTCTTGGTTCTTCTTAATCAGTAGCACCCGCTCCTGCCACACAGCTGGCCAAAAGCCCCCCACCCTGACGCCCTGCTCAAACCTGGATGGCACTGAAGAGGAAGTTCAATTAATTTGTCTTCTTGAGAAGAGAGTTTTAATTTTCCTCTAAGATGTCTTATTGTTTGCGGCCACGAACAAGTCTAGTGGCACAAGTTAATTTGTCACGTTCCCACTGGATACAGTGTTCCAGAAATCAGCAAGAGCGAAGTTGTTAGATATTTGTTTTTAACAAAATGCACACACAATTCGAATCCCAAACATTTTTTGTTTTTGCACTGGACAGTTTATGGGATAACTGGTAATTCTGAGGGACTTTAGGGGATTCCTGCAGTGGCTAGAAGCTGAGCCTAGATGGCTTTGAGTCACGTTGTGATTTAAAAACGTTTGAACCAGCTCCTCGTGGTGTGGGATGGGACAGTGCTGTGGGTGCTGCTAGAGCCCAGGTCCCTAACCGGACGAAATGCATGGCGAGGGCGCACTTTTCAAAGTCGCCGTCATCTTAGGCTGTCAAAACAATAGTAGCTGTGTCAGATCGAGATGGAAGGAGAGAGCCTGACTCTGAGCTCTGCTGGCCACGTGTGCTTTTAATTCAGAACCCTTTGTAGAAAAGGCATTTTCAATCTGTAGTGAGTGCATAGAGAAATGTGACAGGGATAAAGGAGCTGAAACCCAAACAGAAAATACATCCTGGATTTTTAAAGATCTCAAGTATCTGAATGGTGTGAAGGAAAAATGTTAAATTTTGTTTTGTGTTGTTTCAAACAGGCAGACCGTAGATGACAAAAACTAGAAAGCGATCAAGGGATGAGTCTTAGACCAGCCGAAGGACTCTGTGACGTGTGCTTGGCTGGCAGCAGAATGCGCCGTCTTGGGAGGGAGGCGGCTGCCCCACTGCTGAGTGCTCAGACAGGGCAGAGCTGCCGGACAGAGTTAGAATGAGATTCTGGCCAACTCCTGGTTCCGGTCCTGTGACTCAGAATTGGGGAGTGTCCCGAGCCGAGCTGGGGTCCAGGACGGGATCCGGAGGAAACTGGCGGCAAAGGGCCAGGGCGGACGAGTGCCGGAAGTTCGGTCCCCAGGAAAGGTGGCACCCGTAGGCCAGAGCTCAGCGTTGCACGTCAGGCCGGCGTCTCGTGCTGCGTGGCGCCCCCACCCAGCGGCCGCTGTCTCCCCGCAGGCTTTTTCTCGACATTCATAGCGGAGACGAGGGGAGAGTGTGGTCGAGGGTGTCCCGCAGCTCTGTCACGTCGGGGTGTCTGTGGGGCGCGTCTGTGGGTCTGCACGAGTTGCGGGCGCGCCGTGCTCGGTCACCGCCCGAGCGTGCGGGGTAGATGGTTCTGGGGAGGGGTCGATCTGGAGCCTCATTCTGCCGTCGCGACGCCGTCGCTGTGTGAGTCGTGCCGTGTCCCGCTCCGTGTGTGTGTCCCCCGTCTCCGTGCGTGTCCCGCGTCTCGCGCTGCCGGCTCTGCCGGGCGGAGGCTGAGCTGACTTTGCTGTTAGTTGCAGGACGAGGAGCGGCAGCGGCAGCGGCAGCTGGAGGAGATGCAGCGGCGCGAGGCGGAGGACCGCGCCCGGCAGGACGCGGCGCGTGGCCAGCAGCAGGAGGAGGCGCGGGCCAAGCGCGACGCCGAGGAAAAGGTCCTGGTCCTGTGAGGGCGGCGAGGGTCCCACCCACTTAGCCCGGCCGGGCCGGCCGGCGGGCAAAGGGGGCTGAAGCCGGTCCGGTGCTTAAGCTGTGCGAGACGGAACGGGGCCCGGGGCGCCCGGCTTCCGCTGCGGGACCAAGACTCTAGCCCGGTCCGGCCCACACCTGTCCTCCGACTGCCTCCAGCTCCCCTTTGCTCTGTGCTTGTCTCTCTCAAACTGCGAACTCCTCGGGCCGGTCCCCGCAGCCTCTCTGCGCGGGTCTGCGGGCCTGGCCCTGGCCCTCGCTTCGCTGGACGTGGTCCAGCTGTTTCCGTGGCGGGGACGTTTGCTCAGTTACTGTTCAGCTTGCGTGGCAGCTGCGGGAACACCTGGAGCGTAGCGAGACAGTCTGTTGCCACTAGGTATTTCAGACAGATTACTTACTGAGATCACTCCGTTCCGGTCCGTGGTAAAGCGGGCGAATGGCTTATGAAAAACATACAGGGAAAAGTACTTGGTCTGTAACGTGGTAGATACTCCGAGTTGTTACTTTGTTTCCATGTGCAGGTTCTTTAAGTTCACGGAATCCTTTCCATCGAATTTTAAAATCACAACTCGTTTGACCTGTTCTGAGAACCGGGAGCTGTGCGGTGCTGCCCCCCGGCTCCCCCTCCATGTGCGTGCTGCGCGCCCAGCCCCAGGGGCCTGCCTGGCGCCGACGCCGCTCTGCACCTGCTCAGTCACTTGCTCTGTCACCCGCTCAGTTACCTGCTCGGTCACCTCCCTTCTGTGAAGGCGGGAGCTTGAGTGCCTCAGCTTCTGATAGCGAAGATTTAGTTTTTATTAAAAGTTCCTTTTTTGATAGTCCCATGAACTATGTTAACAGAGTACCCTCCCCACCCCCACAAAAGAAGTTTTAGGAAGCTTTTCATGGTGATAGGATCTATTAGGGTACCTAGTCAAGGGGTACGGTCGGCAGGAACGTGATACATTTACAAGAAAGTGGGGTGAGTAGTGCGAGGACACACAGCTGCACGGAAACCAGCGGTCTCTGCGTTTCGTAGACCTTGGCCTCCCCTGCAGCCCCCCGTGACCTGCAGCGCCAGGAGCTTCCCAAGCCCCTTCCGGTGGGGGTGGTCAGGACCGGGCCGCCCCAGGCGGGACTGAGGGTCTTCCTAAGGAAATCGGATTTCCCGAGTGGAGCCCCTGGAGTTCTCCGCTGTCAGGGTGTCGCATGTTCTCTTCCTGTGCTGTCTCCACTCCGGGCCACCTCAGCCGTCCGCCTGCACGGCCCCAGGACGGGCTGCACACAGACCCGCTGCCCTCCCGGGAGCCTGCGCTGCGTGGCGTCCCGGGCCCCACCGAGCCCTGGCCTGTGCGGTCACATGTGGGAGCAGGACACCCCCGGGGAGGGTGGGTCGTGTCTGTGACCTGTGATCGGCTTGCGGTCTCACAACTCGTGATTATGTCAGACACACTTTTTTTCAGTAACTGCTTCTGTAATTGAGTGGTCAATGTAAAAAGAAGTTGAAGAACCTATTTTTTATACAGAATTCCAAAATTGCTGGGTTTGCTTTGTTACAGAAAAACGTTGGGTAGAAAAAGGCTTTCCGGGTCCTGTAATCGTATCTCCTCTCATCCAGCTGAAGAGAACCTTCCGCTTCCCCTGAAATGTTAGCGAGCCCCTGCTCTTCCCTAGGCCCCCAGTCCTGGTGGCCCCGCGCCAAAGCCACCGGGGCTATTCCAGATTCGATGCCACACCCTGTGTGGAAAAGGAGAGACATGCTTTTCCTTCGGGATGTCTCAACGTAGAGCGAGAAGACGAAGTGAGAAATTGGGTCCAGGGCCACGATCGGGGCCGGCCTTCGCTTAGACTTCCTCCCTCCGAAGGCGAAGCGTCGGCCATTGTGCATTCATTCACTGCGTGTGTGCACATGCGTGTGTGTGCACGCGTGTGTGTATGTGTGTGTACGAACACACGAGTGTGTGTGCAAGCATGTGTGCTGTGTGTGCGGACACATGCATGTGTGCGAACACATGTGCGTGCATGCATGTGGGGGGGTGTGAACGCACGAGTGCATTGCACGCATGTGTGCTGTGTGTGCGTGGGTGTGTGCGGACACATGCATGTGTGAACACGTGCGTACATGCATGTGGGGGTGTGTGTACAAACGCACAAGTACGTGTGCACACATGTGTGCTGTGTGCGTGGGTGTGTGCGGACACGTGTGTGCGTGTGTGAACGCATGCACGTACGTGCATGTGGGTGCGTGCGTGTGTGCGTGGGCGTGTGTATGCATGCGTGTACGTGTGTACGTGTGTGTGCACACGTGTGTGTGCACATGGAGGCCGTAGGGGAAAACGCAAGCATACAAATTGAAATGGGGACTACAAACTTCTGTCCTGACGCCAGCGAGTCCCCTGAAATCGGTGTCTTTGACTGAATGAGTGTAAAACTCATCGTCCTCCACCGTGTAACACGGCACGTCATTCACGTTAGGGCAGACTATTCTGCTTGACCTTTCACCCCTTTCTTATTTACTTTTTTCTTGTGTCCTAAAATTTCTGTCAATCTTTAACAAAACTGTGCTGTTATCTTTTTTAATGTTAAAGTAATTTTAACACTGTCAACTGTAGTTTGTGGAGATATATGTCAGAAAAAATGTACGTGTCAAATATATTTGCATATCCTGTTGCTCTTGCTCTTAATCCTGGCTCTCGAACTTTCTGTGAGGGAGTTTAAGGCCTGACCTGTGAACTGTGCAGAGTATTTGTTAGATTGTTGCTTTGGGAAAACAAGTAATGTTTTTCACAGTCTGTGGTTTCTTCCTAATTTTCCTCTGAGTCACGGGGTGAACCAGGTGACGTAAGCCCGCCCTTCTCGCCCAGGAAGCATGCTCTTCTGAACGTGCGGGGTTCAGTGGGGAGGCTCCCAGGTGTGCGCTTCCGAAAGCGCCCACTCTAGAAAGCCAGTCGTAGCCTGTGTTGGGCTTAGCTTTGTCTGTAGACTCAGCGGTACCAGGTAAGTTGACATCCTACCAAAAGCAGAAGGACAGAGACGGACCCAGAGGGAGCAGCGGAGGCCCGACTGTCCCGTGGAGTGGTGGGGTGGGGACAGCGATGCGCGGCCGCTGGAAGGGAGGCCGGGGGCGCCTGAGAGGGCCGCACTCCCGTGCCTCGGAGCCGCCGTGTGTCGGAGCATTCCAGAGCAGCCGGCGTGCGTTCACGAGGCTCAGGAGAGGACCGTTTCCGCCACGGCACCTGCTGTGTCCACACCTTAACGTCCCGTGGATGCGTCCTCAGTGTGGTGACAGGGACTGGGGCACACACTTCTTTTCCTGCGCTGTGCAGGCGGTCGGGTGGCCGCGGTCCCCCCCACGCCTCTTTCTGACCTTTGCGTTTGTCTGTTCCCGCCCGCAGAGGCGACAGGAAGAAGGCTATTACAGCCGCCTGGAGGCCGAGAGGCGCCGGCAGCACGACGAGGCGGAGCGCAGGCTGCTGGCGCCAGTCATCATTTTAAGAATGCATATCAAATTTCAGTTTGATTTATGGAGAGAGAAAGAGGAAGAGAGAGAGAGAGAAGAAAAGAAGAAGAAGAAGAAGAAGAAGAAGAAGAAGAAGGAGGTCGTCGCATACAACGAGGAGGAGGAGGAGGAGGAGGACTGCGGGCCAGCAGGTCAGGGTGCGCGCTCTGGCCGAGCCAGTGTCCCGGCTCCGCCCGGAGGCCACCATGCCCGGCCTCCAGTGGTGTCTTTCCCTCCAACTCATTGGCCACCCTCGGCCACTGCCACCGGTACTGCCCACCAAGCAGGCCGCCCCCTCCCCCCAGCAGGCGGGCCGCTGCCCTGCCCGCCACCCCCAGTGGAGGCAAAGAGTGGGGTTGCCAGCCCGGCCTGGGCTCCGGCCAGCACCTAGATCTGGGTTTGGTCGCTGGTCTGGCTGGCGGTCCCCCGCAGCTGTCTCCGCTCGTGCTGCCCTCCAGGGCCCCGAGCGCTGCTGCTCGCTCAGGCCCCGCGTCCCGCCCGCCCTCCTGCCCTGGTCCCCCACGCAGCCCTGGGCGTGGCCTCGCTCTCTGGTCTTCACGGGGCGCTTACGTGGTGGGACACGCACCCTTCTCGCACACTCTAGTATCTCGGGATAAGTGTCTCTCGTTAACGGTGTCACGGGTGCATGCCCAGTGTCCCTCATGTCACGTGAGTAGACTGTTCTGCGTTGGACGGCGCGGGCAGAGGGGCATGAGGCGACTCTGCTCCCGCGGTTGTCAGAGCTGGCGCCCCAGGGGTTGTGGTGCTGCCTGGAGCCAGCCGCCTCCTGGCAGGGGCCCCGGTCACCGCAGACCGCCCCTGCCCCTTCCCCTTCCCCTGGGGCTTGCGGGGTCCTGTGGTGCTGGCGTCCAGAGGCTGCCGCAGGCCGGTCGGCAGGAGTCGGGTCTGAGACAACACAGGGCTGTGTTTAAGACAGAACCGTGACGACAAGGACTCGGATTTCAGACTGGTTTTAGCTCTTCAGATGTGGGGTGCTGGCAGCGACGTTCTTGGAGTTAGTGGGGTGGCTCCGGGAGGAGGGGGTTGGCCGTCTGAATCCTGCACGGGGCGCGCCACAGTTCTGGGGGTTGGATGATCAAGAACCCGTGTGACTTTGCCTCTTGGTCACAGTGGGTTTTGCCAGTTTCTTTCCACCTGAGTGAGAGCTCAGGACACAATTTTAGGTCGAATCGCTCAGAAGCCAGAATTCCATCCTTTTGGAAAATTTCTGTTATACGTATCTTGACTGGCTTAAGACTTGCGGAATAACTGATTTTTGAGGCAAGATGCCTTTGGTCTCCTTGCATCAAATTCCAAGCTGAACTTTAGATATCTCGTAAATGTCGTGATACGAATGCACGAGGCTCGGTGACGGACTGCGGTGGCTCAGGCCACATGGCCGTGCCGGCTTCCAGTCACGCCGACAACCCTGTCTCCCCTCGCACCTGAAGGCCGCGTGGAGCAGGTTACAAGCAGGTTACATCCTGCGTCCGCGCCTCGTGGGAGACTGCCCCGCTTCGTAACGGATGGGGCTGCTGCACCAAGTCACAGGGCGCTCTGACCTTACCGCCCGTCACCGCCCTGCCACCGTCCAGTCCCCGTCAGCTCCCTGTCCTGTCGCGAGCACGGGAAAGCGCGATGCTGTTGACGGGACTTGGCTTTCTCCGCCGGAAGCCGTACGGATAGAGTCAGCTTATGAATTGAAATGAATAATGTCCGATTTCAACACAGCAGTGTAGTAGAAATATTCTTTACTAAAACTCTTTGAGAATTATTTGAAATGTGTAGTATCAATTCATATAGTGTCAGCTGAAGGTATTTGATATTCTGGTTTTCAAAATTTCGAAAATTTTGAATTGACTTTTCCCAGTGGAAGAAACAAGTATCATTCTTAAAACAGAGATTAAAAGAGACAACATGCCATTTTTAAAAACAAAATGAATTAAATTTTAGCATTAAAATGGAAAGGATTTCACTGTGCACAGAGTTTATCCAGAGGCCTGCTGTGGGTGACGTCGGGTTAGAAGCGCGTGCGTTGGCTCTTTCGATCTTTGCTGAGGGTGATCCCCACACAGTGGCGATGGAGAGCTGGCTGAGCCGGGGGGGAGGGTGCAGTGCCTGGAGGACGCGGCAGGAAGTGGGCGAGCTCTGTCCCAGACGCGCTTCTGCACAGTAGGTCCTTTTACGTTGAAGCCTGAAATTCACGTTTCTGCAGCTCGCGTGGAAAGGTAACCTCCATGTCGGACGCCGTGCCGATCTGTGGCCTGTTTCCTCCAGTCTGCTCTGCCGTCACTGTCAGCTGAGTGTTCGGAGCGTTTATTGCTCCAGCACGTGTTAGTATTACAAGCCAGAGACTTTTTAAGTGTGAAATTCTCTGTCCCGCTGACGTTAGTTACCAGAAGTACGTTAGTACTATTTGAACGCGTTGCGATTTTAATGACGCCTCATTAGTGGCAACATGCGCTTACTTGGATGCGTTTAAACTTTTCGTCTGCATCGTCTCTTCTGCTGTTCCGCACCCTCCGGAGCGGATGGGGCAGGGGCCTCGCCAGCAGGCGGGCCCAGCACGGTCACTCGGCCGGTCACAGGCAGGGCTCCTTCTTCCCTCTTCCCGTGCTGCTTTGGGTCCTTCTGTGACGGCGTCTGACATTTTGTATCTGTGGCACTAGTATCAGTCCCAGGGGTTTCTGGTAGCTCACATATTTAAAAACTTTATGTGATTAATTATAGCCATTTCAAAAATATTCAGTAGCTGTCCTGGAAAGAACTTCAATCGTGTGGTTACTTCTCAATCTGTAGGTGACACTTGCTGTTATTGATCTCGTAGAAAAATTCTCAATGTCAGGAGTGTCTTGAAAGTTTACCGTCAGCCTTCTGTGGACTTTGCCTCTGACTCCGTGACGATCCCACATTTGGCCGCCCCTGCCGAGGCCTGTGCCGGCTCCCCCCAGCGCGAGGGCGCGCAGCTGTCACACGGCGCCCTGCCAGGGCGCCCACGGGACGACTTAGGTCACTCGGGCGGGACCGCAGGCTGCCCAGTCCGTCCCATGTGACGGGCCGTCTGCAGTCTGTGCAGTGACGAGAGACGCCTCAGGCCCCATGGGCCCTGCATCTTCCCCATGGGTGAAATGTGGGAAACAACACAAGTACTTTAACTCTGATTTTTCTCTTTTTTTAATGGAAAAGGACCAAACTCTTATACTGGATCTACTGGGACCCTTTTCGGCGCCCATGATGCGTATCGGGATCTGAGAGAGAAACCGCCCAAAAGGTATTTGCGTTTGCACCGGACAGGCCCCCCCACCGTGAGTCCCTTGTCCTTCCTCAGGCCGTGAGTCCCTTGTCCTTCCTCAGGCCGTTGTGGGTGAGCTGGGTTCACATTTGAGAGACGTCATTATCAGCTCAGGCTTTTGTCATTGCACAGAATCGCGTGAGCACGTGAGCTTTTTTATTTGTGATGCTCATGTAGTTGCTTCACATGACGATGAGGCCGGCTCAGTAGTTAGACCCTCAGAATCAGTGGGACACCCCGCTGTTTGCTTCCACAAAGAGGGGTGAAAGTTCCCGGGCAGTGACCAGACATCCTGCTGGCCCGCGGGAGGCCAGCCCCAACGATGCACGAGCGGATCGGTTTGATGGGGGCCACACCTCGGGTTTAGCCAGACACTGCTGGCCGGCGAGCTCCTAGAGCATGGAAGCCGAAGGCGTCAGGGGACTCCCCGGCGTCCCCCCGCAGCTTCGTACGCAGTCAGGGTGCTCAGAGGTGCCTCTCAGGTCCGTGCAGGGGTCGTTAGAATTCTGCACTTTAAAACCACCTCGTTAGTTAAACTTAACTGTTAAGAATTGCCTGCCGGCTGGAACCGAAGCTACTAAAGGGTTTGACCGTTGGATGTGACTGGAGAAAGTTACCATTAACTTTTAAACTAACGTAGTAAGGAGAACACGTTACCCTTTTTCTCAGCATTGGTTTAGAAACAGCCCCTGTGATTTTCACGATGAGGAAGGTCGTGGCAGAGTTTGACACAGGCTCTTGCTGAAGCTGCCCCGTAAGTGCCGTTTAGCGTAAACGTGCCCGCTGGTTGACGAGTTCTTTCCGCTTTGACCTTCCCTCTCCTGCAGCCACGACGCAGACCCCCCCGCGAGTTCTGGAGCCCCTGAAAACCTGACGTTCAGAGAGCGCCAGCGTCTCTTCTCACAAGGTCACGACGTGTCTAACAAAGTGAAAGCCTCTCGCAAGTTGACGGAACTGGAAAACGAACTGAACACGAAGTGAGGAGGGAGGGGGCGGCGCGCGGCGTCCCGGCCCCTCCGAGCCCGAAGGAGAGGGGTGCGCCCCCGAGTCGCGGAGACTCTGCTGAGACGGTCGGGGTACAGAGATGGTCTGGCTCCAGGAAAGCCTGTTTTCTTTCCCGGAGACTGTCACTTCTATGATTTCAACACTGTCTTAATTTCTTAATTGTCCGACTCACGTGCAGATAGCTTTGTTAGTTTCCTTTCTAGAGTCTGAGTCGGAAAGGGGACGGGGGCGGCCAGTAAGAGAGAATGAGCTGTTTCTCCCCCACCTTACCCAAGGAGCACAAGCAAGTCCCATTTCTGTTCTTTTCCACACTCTTTAGCTTGCAGAGAATAGCGAATAGCTTGAATCACCCAGATGATTGTTTGCACTATTTGAGAGCCACTACAGGCAGCGATGCAGGAGACAGGACACACGGGGACAGGCTGCTTCGGGCTGGTCGCGAGCAGACCCGACACAGCCCTTCCTGTCCTTAGCCACAAAGCAGCTTACACTGCCGCTTCCCGGACGGGGGACGACGCACACCAGAGACGTGACCCCCCTTCCCTTACAGGCCCACGCCCTTCCAGTCAGTTCTCAATATCTGATCGAAAAGTTTTTTTCCAACCAAAAAAGTTTGACGCTTTAAGCTTAGGAAATTTTATTTTTGTAAATTCCAGATTATTGTTATAATAAATCGTTGGTGATTTCGAAGATGGCAGTTAATGTTGGAAAGTTAGCCAAATGTTTCAGGTATCCACGGAAACCCACAGAAGGGCGTCTAGCCAGGTGGCCTTGCCGTGAACAGGAACGAGAACGTCGGAAAAGCATGCCTCGTTAGTCGGTGGCACTCAGCACAGCTGTTGCTCAGGAATTTTTAAGTTTGACGAGATTTACACCTGTGTGCTGTCGGGGACGGCCTTCAGTCACCTCTGGCGTCTGTAATCCACACCTGCAAGAACAACTCACGGCGGTTCAAGCTATTTTTTACTCACAGAATTATTTAATTTTCCTTTGTTGCATTTAGTTACCGCTGTCGTTTCTTCAGCTATGAATGTGGCCGATGTCGGGGAGACGGACCTCACTCTGCTTTGTAGTGCGTGATGGTGAAACGGTAAATTACTGTGTGATTACGAGCAGCTTTTCTATTTGACAAAACCCTGACGTGGGGTCTAGGTGATTTTCCTGTACCACGTTGTTCTCTTACAGACGTGCGTGTTAGCACACTTTCAAAGGGGAGAGGCAGGGGCTTCCCAGCCTTAGCAATCACTTTAACAAGAGTTGTATGATAAATCATTAAAACGCAAGTGTAAATATTTTTTATGCCTGCCAGGGCTCCTGTTTGGAAGTGTGCTCCCACCGCCCCGAGTGAGAGAGTGAGATGGCTCTGTGCTGATGAAGGATTTGCAGGCTCCTCCAGGTGTCTGGAGGACACTGGTGGCCTCATGGGGACTAAATCCACACTTTTCTTTAAAGAAAATGATGCAGACGAACTACTATTCTGTTAATATATGGGGAAAAATACACATAAGTACATGCAAAGACATGTGAATATCTACGGACAGGGAGAGTCGTGTGTGGTCGTCAGACTCATCGACGAGTGGGTGTGGCCGTCCTCGACGGTCGGTGAAATGTGAATAGCGGACAGGGCTTTTCACAGCTGTGCATTATATGGAAGAAACATCCGAACTGCTGTAGTTTTCCATTTCTACTGTATTTCACTTGCAACCTATTTTTAATAAACTTTATATGTATTTAAGTGTATCTGCTTGCTGTTAACGCCTCCGACAGACTGTGTGACGTCGGTCTCCCTCCCGTGCTGTCCCTCCCGCTCGTTAAACATGAACCAAGCGTCCCGCCCGTGTCAGGCCGTGTGCTCAGTGTCGGGGATGCTCGCCCAGCCCCAGCCTCCAGGACCACCTTGCGCACGCGCTGTCCCGGGAGACATTCAAACCGTTTCTCAGTCACGCTGTCCCAGGGGCGCCCCTGCGAGGCAGACACACGGTAATTAGCACAGTGTACGACACGGTGTCCCGGTGAGAGGCGTTCCAGTGCAGGGGGCCCGGGGGTGACAGACGTGAGTGGCACCCAGCGGCCCTGCCCCGCCCCGTGCATGTCCTCCCTCCTCGCGACCCTGGTCTGCTTCTGGTCCCCTCTGTCCGGGCCTCCAGGCAGCAGTGCTGGGCCGGGCCTCGGAGGTCCTAGGAGAAGCAGGTGGTCCCATGCGGGGACCACAGTCACCACTTCGCGTGTGTCCGGACGCCCAGAAAGGCGCCTGAGGTGTGGGAGGGCAGCGTGGAGGGCCCTCTCCGCGCGGCTTCCCCTCGGGCCCGTCATCGCCCTTGCCCTTGACGGAGTCATGGCAGGTGTCACCTTGTCCACTCAGACCGCAGCAGGGGCCCGTGGGCGACGCGCCCTCTGCTTCCTGGCACCGGTGGCTCGTCTCAGGCTCGCGGCTATATCTAGGGCACTGCGGGGCACAGCAGAATGCACGTGGGACGACTCACTAAAGGGAAAGTGTGCACCAGCAGCGACAGGTTTTGCATTCTAGCATTCGTCCAGCGTAGTCGGAGAAGTCACGTAGGCCCAAAGGACGCAGCCACCTTCCAGCTGGTACAGAGGCACTAATGCGCAGTTTGTCAAAGCTGTTACTCAAGGTCCTACGCGATCAGTCGCTGCTGACAGTCATTCCGAGGATCCCATAGTGGATCTGGGGAGACGGGTACGCAGTTTGTGTGCGCACACAGCCAGCGGTGTAGTGTAAGGGTGTACAGGCCACTTGCAGGGTTTAATAGAGGGACCCAATTTAAGTCACGGAGATGGCAGACTGAGACACGGATGCTGCCCTCTGAGGCGGCTTCCGGCCTGTCCCGCAGGTGGAAGGAAGCCCCCGAGGCAGAGGCTGCTACACTGGACGGGTCCGAGCCCAGAGGCCGGGGCGTATGGGGGGAACGGGGTGGGCGGTGGGGTCGGAGGGTCTTAAACCACCGTGCGGAGGTAGCGTTCATGCAGCCTCCTGCGGGGCTGCACAGGGCGTGAGGCACACGGGCCTCTGGTGGCACGTGGAGGGACGGGGCAGGAGGCCTATGCCGGTGCTCAGGGGCGGTGCGCTGGCTCAGCCTGGGGTTGGTGTGACCAAGTTTGAATGACAAGTAGTGGGACGCTCAGGAGACGAGGACAGGGGCAGGTGAGCTGGGCGCAGGTGAGGCGCAGGTGTGAGTCCAGAGGCGCTAACGAGGTCGGCAGGCCAGCCGGGGCGGTCACCGTGTTTCACGCCTTCGGTGCTTTAAACCTCATTCGCTTCTTCTTTTCTAAAGCTTGTGTTTTACGGTGCGGAGGCGACAGGTGCAGACGGCCTCTATGTAAGTCAGTGACAGTGGTTTTACCTGGGAATTTTTGAAAAGAATGTAAGACAATTAAGTGATCTAACAACAACAAAAAAAGACCTGGGTGTCTGGCCGTGCCCCCCTGAACGTGCCTGATCCCGTCTGATCTCGGAAGCTAAGCAGGGTCGGGCCCGGTTAGTACTTGGATGGGAGACCACCTAGGAAGACCAGGTGCTGTAGGCATAAAAAATAAAAAACTAAGGGATTGTAAGTCGACGAGATCCTTGCAATCCGTGAGGTCAACCAAGGGTTGCCTCGCCTAATAAAAACAGAAGAACACCTGGAACACACCTTAACTGTGGCTTCAGAACGTCCTGCCTTGCCAACGTTTTCCACCGGAGCGGGCCTAAAATACAAGAGCGGCCGCTCTGCGTTGAGCAAAATTACGGGTGCTGTTGGGAGAGCACTCCCTGCCACGGGCGGCACGTCCCCAGGTCCCCTCTGCCCAAGGCAGACAGCTGCCCGCCCCGCTCCCGGGCCACTTTTCCGTCTCCCTCCTACCTCCTGCCACCTCCCTCTTCCTCCCCCCTCC